GATTACATGTTTTTAAAGAAATTGTTATTTCAGCTGAGAAAGCACGCTAAAGTGTATTCATATTAGGTGTAAAAAACGAATGAACTATTTTCTCTCTGCTCTCTCAGATTTCATGTAGTATTCTGCCTCAGCTGTTTCCATGTAATGCTGTATTTGATCAAAAATATCTCCTTGTGTCTTGTCTGTTTCTCCTTTGCAAAGCTTTCCCGGGTCCTAAGTCACTGAGCTCTGGATGGGCACAGTAGTGGGTGAGGGAGGAAAGAGGAAATACTCCCTTCTTTTGTCAGTGATAGGAAAGAAAGATCCGTTTTGGCTTTGTGAAGTAGGCTCATCTCTCAACTCTAGGCATTTGGCATCGCGGCTGCTGTGGTTACTATGGAAGCAAATTGTCTTTGGATAATTGAATGGGCAGACTGGTCTTGAAACGCTTTTCCTCCTGGTTCCCTCTTTCAGAAGCAAGGGCTGGTCCTTGTCTGGTTTCCAGGAGGTGGATGGGCAAGGCCAACTTGTGGAGGATTGTCTTCCTGGCTGTGGATCCACAGCTTTGGTGACTTTTGGAATGCTCTGTTTTTTTTTTCTCCTGTGACCTGGTACATGAAATGTGAAATACCCTTTGAATTCATATCCAGGGATATATTTGCTGAGTTTCCAGATTCAGTACTCACTCAATTTCCTTTTTCCCTTTTTTCACTTGTACTCAAGGTATTTTGTTTCACACTGTCAGAGTCCTACTCACGGCAAGTTCTTATGTGTTCGTGAACCATCAGTCTGTGTCGCGCTCTCAAGCCTGTTGCAGTCCTGTGATTGCTGTCTCAGGACCAGCACCTGGCAGCCTGATACCCTTCCAGTCCCTGACTGCAGCCTCTGTTCACTCCTCCTTTTTCGCTGCTACTTCCAGATGAATCTTAAAACTCCTCTTCTACCACATCCCAGTGGCTTGCTGTTAAACATGTGAGCCAATTAAAAGGGTTAGCTTGATTTCAAGGTCCTATCTGGAATCAGGATTTTCTCTCAACATGCTCATAACTCTTTCAGTACACACTCAATTTCTGTGATCCCCAGGGGGTTTGAATCCCTAAGAAATTGGAGTTAATTAAATCTGTCTTCCAAGCTCCTGTCCAGGATGTGGCATTCTTGTGACCCCATCTCTGCCTCCAGCCACCTCCTGTGCTCACCCTCTCTTCACCTGGGCTTCACTTACAGGATGGCTGTCTCTTTGGAGCTGTGTGGGAGCTCTGGGCTGGGTGTGTGTGGACTCAGCAGATTCTCACCTCTGTTCTTGCTTGTGTAGTTGTCCTAGGACTGTTGTCTGTGTAATTATGCCATCTCCTTAGAATGTTAAGGGAATCTGAAGGGACGTTGTTCATTTTCTGCAAGTCTCACCAAACATCACCTCTCCACTTATCCAGTTTCTGTGTAGATTACTCAAGTGGCACCTTTATTGTGTCCCAGAGACACTGAGGATAGAAAGAAGTCTAAGGTATATCTGGGAAAGTCCCTGGAGTGAAGTATCTCTTTCTCCACTCCCTGGCTAGGTACAACCTCTTTTTCCATAAAACCTTTCCTACATTTCCCACCCAGCCATCCTACATAGCTTGATAGAAACAAAAATAATGTTAATCCATTTTTTCCCATTGGGAATAGGAAAGTGAATGAATTTGAAATGACTTGCTTTATCTTTGAAGCTCCTTCATATATTCTCCCCACCCCCATCTCTCAGAGCTTAACTCAGTGTCTTGCTGCATAAGTCCTTAATAAATGCAAATGTAAGACAATCTCCTCTGCCATATCATGAGTTCATCTTCTTGGTGCTTTTTGAGAATTCAAAAGACAGACTGGTTTTGATTAAACTCTGTGTCATTCAAAAGACAGCTGGCCATAGTATTACTTTTAAACATATTTGCTTCTGAAAAATTTAAAATTGCCTTAGAGCAGTGGGTCATCTTTAGTTTTTACTTTTATTTTTCTTCTTCTCTTGGATTTATTCAGTAACTCACCAGTTTTTGTTATTTATTTCTTCAAAATATTCATCTTCACCTCTTCTTCTTTATTCCCATGATCTGCCTCATGGGAAGCATTTACTGACTCTGATAATCCCATTCATTCCTCCCCTTTTGCCAATGATTACCTCCGCAAGACAAGTTCAGATCTTTCAAAATAAACCAGGTACTTTGAAACACTCAGTGTCTTCCTAACTTCCAAATTCTAAATTCTCTTTCCCAGGACCTCACTTCTTCAGCCCTCTCTTGCTCTCTTCTCCCTGATACACACAGGTATCAGCTGGCCTCATCTCTTCTGTATTCCATCTATGTTTCCCACTGTGCAGTGGGGTCACTGATGTATATTTTCATCAGACCCTGATTGAGTGCTCTCAGATAGAGGTGGTGTGGCCTTTTTTCAGACCCAAGGATACCCATATACTAGCAGCTTAGCTCCCTGGTGGAAAACTGACTATGTAACTCACTTTCAGGACTTTGGGGAGAATATCATTTTCGACTTCCTGGTCTCAAGACTGACATGAACTAGGATGAGCGAAGCATCATTTATCCAGCCTGCAGAAGACAGTGTGGACCCTTTTCTGAAGCCTGTTCTTGGAACCAGACCAGCTGAGGAAGGATGGGGCTCTAGATCACATACTCTGGGGCTCACCATTAGGGATGTTCATTTGGAATTTCACATTTCAAGCAATGTTGAGGGATTTTACAAAAACGGTTTTGGTGAATCTTGTAGTCACTTTAACGATATTATTGAGGGACCTGTTCACTACATTATTGAACATTTTCTTTATGAGAATCCATGAGATTTTTTTTTCCTCTCTGGTCTCAGACTTGGATTAATTGAATTTGGAGTAAAATGTGATTCTTATAGCTAACCATGTGTCCCTCTTTGTGTTGGCTGCTCCATAGTCCAACTAATTTTGTGGACTACTTTAAACTAAGTATTCCCAACATAAGGAATATGTGTGGCTGCAGTCCAGGCTTCATCCTAACATTTTCCAGATTTCCTCTGATCTCATCTATCTTGCCTTTTGTTTTATTATATGTGTTTTTGTAATCTACCTTGTTAGAATAAGATGGGGTATAAATTCACATATAAGCACATCTAACTAAAGTTGTAGCTAGGTAATTTATTATTTGTTTATTTTATTTTAGTGGTACTAGGGATTGAAACCAGGGCCTTGCATATGCTAGGCAATTGCTCTATGGATGAGCTACCTCTTCATTTCTTTTTATTTTGATACAGTGTCTCAATAAGTTGCCTCTTGTGAGCCAGCCATGGGCTCTGTGTGTGAGCTATGCACATTCGAGCACATATGGGAACTGAACTGACCTTGTTGCTGTGACTGGGCTGTGTGAACTATGTGTCCTTTTTGCTTGTTCTGCCTGTGTTCCCACACAGCACCTGAGATGGGTGTGGCTTTCTAAGCTGTCAGTCATTTTGCTGACAAGCAACCCCCTGAAACCCAATCCTTTGCCTTATTTGGGTTGAACTTTCTCAAATGCCTTTCTCCCCTAATAAATTGGGTTTCAGGCATGTTCTCTGTCTTTTGCCTACTTCTCTTGACTCCCTTGTGGGAGCTGGGGCCGAGGAGCCATCACTGAACCCCCAGAAAGGTATTTTCTCTCTCTTTCTCTGGTTATTTAGTAGCCAGCCCACCTGGAGTGACCCTGACTGATTCAGTGAACTGGAGATCCTACTGCCTCAACCTCCTCAGTAGCCTGCATTATAGGAGTGCATTACCATGCTCAGCAACCATAATTATTTAGATAAAAACATAACTCACAATTATTTCTAGATTCTATAGTTTGAGGAAATGTATTAAAGGAAGCTTTAAAATACTCTATTTCTATAAGTTAGAATCCTTTATACCTAGTAGTTGAAACACTAGCATAAGATGCGAGGAAAGTAAATTTTAAGGAAAATTTTAATGTTAATTTTAAGGAAAAGCAAATACAAAAATGGTTAATAGACTAAATAGACTGACAAGTTAGGAAACACCAAGGATATTCTAATACACATTCACTCTTTTATGGGACATTGGGTAAAATGTCCTGAAATCAGGACCTACGTGAGGTAATACTGCAATCAGCTTCTTTGTACCACTGAATTGCAATCACAAAGCACTACATGGTATCCTAGTGACTAGAAGCAATTTATGATTTTAAAAATTGTTTACATTTTTTTTTCATTTTCCTATTTTGTTCAAAGGGAATATTTATGATTCAAAACAAATCCTTCTCTAACCCAAAGTCATTTCAGAGGAAAATTGTAAAATTGATTGGGCACAGATATAAATAAAGAAAACAGAAAATTAGCAAAAGTTCCTGATTTCTCCCCTTAGAAAAAAGATGTTACAGGGCTTTAAGCATGCCAGAAACAGTAGAAATTACACACTGCCCCCTCACCAACCCAACATGGTGCCAATAGAAACTGCTAGACAAACTAGTAAAATGTGGGAATTTATTGGCAAAAAGATACCTGAGAAGTGGGCACAGAGCTGGCTGGTGAGACAAGATGACTTCCATCCAAGGAAGGCTCTGCTTCTAATCTGACTACTCTATACCGCCTCTGGTGGCAGAAAGTGAATTTAGCAGGGACCATCAGGATCCATCAGAAGGTATAAAAACCTCCCAAGTCGTGTTGTAATTACCAGAGACTTGTTAAAATGTGACATTATGGTCAGAACTGTTGGGAAACACACTCTGAGAAAATATATATCTATTCACATATTCACAGTATTTATCAGGCATTTGGTAGATGCACGGCTTTGAGATATGGATATTGAATCTGTTCATCAATGTGTAATATTTTCCTGCTATTGCTGCTGGTGTGCGTGTGTGTGTGTGTGTGTGTGTGTGTGAGAGAGAGAGAGAGAGAGAGAGAGAGAGAGATACACAGGTGAAAAATGAAATTGTGTTTTGATTCTAAACATTTCTAGGAATATAAGATCTGTTTAGATTTTCGTGTGGATTTTAATTGCCTATTTTTAAATTTCACAGTGTGTGGACAATATACGATGTAATGGTTTAATGACTATAGTATTTGAAGAAAATTCCAAAGTTACTGTGCCACATATGATTAAGTAAGTGCAATAATCTTTTCTCTCATGTTTTAATCAAGATCAAATTGGCAGAGAATGTAAAACCTTGAATAAAATAGTCATTTCAATAGAATTCTGCTTCTTATCGAGAATGTTTGCTGACAGTCATGTGATAATTCATGTTATGCAGTTATAAATAGCAAGGTTATCAAAATGGTTTTTCATATTCATGGTTTATTGACTTATAGGAAAGAAAAATTGTTTTTCATACTGTTACATACTCCATCACTCAGGACAAAATGCTATCAAGATGTTCAAGTTTAATATAAAATATCAAAATAGTGACAGCCAGATATATCTAAGGTCAGAGGGTGGACCAAGGTGTGGCTGACTTACATGGCATCCTCCAAGTGGGCATGAATCATATTATGCAGATTTGGCCGTGGAGATACATTTAGACTTTGAACACACCTAGCATGAATCAACTGGCTTGGCCATGGTACCTTCTGTCCCCTGCCTTTATCTGTTTTGGACCAGAAGCTATTGACGTTAGGGCTGTTATCCTTCTGTAAGTGTCTCAGCAAAGCAAGTCTTATATCTTAGAGGGATCCCGAAGAACACTGTAGTTTACACTGAGAAGTTACATCAATATGTGCTAGAACTCTCTGTATTACATTTCTTCTCCATATACTATTTTGTTTTCAAATTCAGAAATTGTTTTGGGAGTGTTTTGAAAAGGACCAAATTGTTCCTTACTTTCATTTTTTTTTTATTAATTGCTTTCCCAGTTCCAAGAGTAAAGTGCATTTTTAAAAAGCAATTTGGTTATATTTTGCAAAACAAAAGGCTTTTTGAAACCAAGAACATGTTTGACTTTCTTGCTTTCTTGTGTGGATATTTTGAGGTCTGACTTGTTTATTCTAAGACAGTAAATAACATTAACTTTGGAAGGATAACTTTCCTCTTCTGACAGATATTAACTACAGTTAGCATGATCCTTGTGGTACAAGTTTGAGAACTTGTTGCATCAGATGAAGGCAGAGTACATAATAGTAGTACAAAAATAGCTATAGAAAAAATATCATTCAATTAAGGAATGATATAATTCAAAATTATTAGTCAAATCTTAAAATATTTTGGGAAGGGCCATTTTAAAACTCTAATGCAAAAGTTACTTTTGCATACAATTTTATAAGTTTTTAATTCAGTATTTTTTTAAACACCAGATTATTTAAAAATGTATGATGCTAAGATTAAGAACAGGGCTGGGGTTGTGGTTCAGTGGTAGAGTGCTTGCCTAGCATGTGCGAGGCCCTGGGTTTGATCCTCAGCACCACATAAAAATAAATAAACAAAATAAAGGTATTGTGTCCAACTACAACTAAAAAATAAATATATTTTTTAAAAAGATTAAGAACAAATATGGAGTGTGAAGACAGAAGGTCCAAATCATGATTTAAATTTTGGATTTATATCATTGGGTTTAGATTTTATTTTCATTTTGTTTTAACCACAGGATTCCAATTTTAATTTTTCACAAAATGATACATATGATTTTTGTTCTTTATGAAAAGTATTGGTTGAAAGTTAGACAGCCATGAAAGTCCAATTGCTTTTGAGACAGATGTGTGAGTCAGCCAGCATAGCGTAATTATAACCCCCTACCCCGAGGGCAGTTGAACATCCATTATACATGCACTGTGTTGACCTAAAAAAGGTGTGGTGGCACGCACATGTAATCCCAGCTACTCTGAGTGGGAGGCTGAGGCAGGAGGATCACAAGTTTGAGACCAGCCTGGGCAACTTAAAAAAAAAAATAACAAAAAAGGGCTGGGGATATAACTCAGTAGTAGAGGGCTTGCCTGGCATGCAGGAGGCCCAGCCTGCAAAACAATAGAACAATGATGATGGTGATAATGATGATGGTGATGATGATGATGATGATGATGATGGAGGAGGAGAGGTGGAAGAAGAAGAATCCTTTAGTTTTGTGCCTGACCAGTTGTGGCTTTTGTGCCCACAGCAGCAGTTTTACCAACATCCATGTCCATTTGCACCACCACTTTCATACAGACCAAGATTTGCTGCCTTAGAGTATATGATACTTAAACGAGTAGGAACTGCTCTCCTGCTAAGACGAGATCCTGTCTCTTGGGCTATAAGGATTTTCATTTTTTAAAATATTTTTATTTTAGTTATTTATTTTTATGTGGTGCTAAGGATTGAACCCAGGGCCTCGCACATGCTAGGCGAGCACTCTACCACTGAGCCCCCTCCCCGCCCTGCCCATAAGGATTTTCTATTAAAGCTAAGAAATCTACACGACACTAGGTGTATTCCTCAAGCAGAGTTAAGTTTCATATATTTACTCTTTCTAGTTCTCCCAGCTTCTTTGAGCCTGCTTGTCACTCAATCAGAGGAAAGAGTGTGATTTTGCCATCTCCATTCCACCTTAAATTCTGTTATTTCTGCTACCCTGTACATCTGTCTTCCTGGCTACAAGCCATGAAAACAAAACAAACAAACAAACAAAAAATGTGTTTCAGAGTTAAAAGAAAAATTATCCTGTTGGAACCATGTCTTGTTATTGACAAGGCAGCACTTTCTAAGCACTTACTTCCTTTTAAAACTTACCAATTGTAATAAGTGATTTGGTTTTGATCTCTTACAATTGCTTTTTATGTTTACCAAAATGGAGTTGCTGTGATCCTAGGAGACTTAAGTAATGCATTCTATCTTTCTTGATTGTCCTTTGGGAAATAAAGTAAATTCCAGTTCAGTATAATAAAAGAAAATTAAGTAATTTCATAATATTTAATTTCTTTTCCTTAATATGAAAACAGTCACAATTTTGAAGGACAATGGCATAATTAGTTTAATTTAATTTTATGCTTCTGGAAACATGTTTTTTTTTCCTCCTAGTGTTTTGAATAAACTAATTATAGTCAAAAGATGCAAAGCTCAAAACTATGATTAGAATGCAAAACCACTTATTAGGTGAAAATATCCCTTTAAATGATGTCTAGCTAAGGCTCTTTTCAAAAAATAATATTTGACCTCAACTCTCTTAGAAAATTGAGGTTTTAGGTGGAAAACAATTGGAGAAAAATTGCTTATTTTCATTAAACCATCTTTGGAATCGATTGATGAATTCAAAAACATCACTCAGGTCTTTTTACAAATAAGAACATTAAGAACCAGAAAAATAAACTTGATTGAGGGTTACATAGTGAGTGGCAGAAAGAGCCACACTATTTTCAACAATCTTAAAAAAAATGCACTTGTATATTTCTAAGATCAATAATATGACTAATGCTAACAGGCTACCCTTAGTCAGTTCCTCAGCAGGAGTCAGCTGGTCATTTAAAATGCCCTTTCAGGCCTTCAGAAGAAGTATTCCCACCTGCACTGAGCATACTTTGGACTGGGAAGTTTCCAGGAGCAAGCTAAGAAAGCTATTGATTCCTCTCTAGTCAAAGGAAATAAATATATAATTTAACATCCCTCGAAGTGCCAAAAGGGCTAATTAAAAGTGCTCACAACAAGCCAACTGATTCTTAGCAGGCAGTTGGCTCACTGAAAGTCACTGGTGCCATATCATATCCTTTTAATTAAATGGTGAAATCCAGGACTTTGCTGATTGCTTGTTACATGCAGCAATGAAGGGGAACAAGGGACCTCAGAAGTGGAAGTGAAGGCTACTGGCAGTCTTCATGGTCCACTAGAGAGGCTGCCAGAGCAGTGCCCTAGGGTGAGGAATGGGGGACCCCCAGGTGAGAGATTCCACAGAATGATAGAAGCAGGGTATTTCGTGGTGGCAGTGGTAGGTATTGTTTAGGGGAATCTGTCTCAGAAGCTATTTTTTTAAATGAGAACATTTTTAATATTGCAGAATATTGAAAACATTATGAAAATGTAACATTTTCACTTACAATTTATGATTTAAATTGCATTCTGAAATTTTAAATACATTTATAAGCCAGGAAGAATGAAATGAATGAATTAGGCTTTCAATTCAAGGAGTTAGGAAAAAGAATGAGACTAACCTAGGAAGAAAGTATAGGAAAGAAACAATTAAGGACAGTAATCAGTTAATACAAAGAACCAAGGGAGAGTTGATAAATTAAAGAGCCAATTACAGAGGCCAAATGCCAAATCATATAGCAGTAATATCTATGTCTTTTCCTCCTCAGTGTGTTTTTGGGGTGTCAACTGCTATTTTTTAAGCATGCTTCTGATATTTTTAAGCAAAATTCTCTTTTTAGGGCATAAGAGATGCTTTTCCCCTCCTTAAAGAGGGCTTTTCATTTTCCTAATAAAATATGGTTCAACTAGAAAGAGAAGGAAGCCACATAGTGAAATGAGTTATTATTACATCCTCCACAATTAATTCTAGCCTTCTTCAATTATAATGCCATAAAAATATTCCTAAATATACCTGATATTTTTGTAGCCTGCTTTTATGCCTATGTGTCATATCTGCATGTACGATTGTCCATCTTCTTTTGAATGCAGTGGGAAGCCCACACAGGAGTGAGTTTATAAATGCTGGAGGACTCAGTGGCCGAGAAGGGAGCCTTATCCTGGTTTGGTTAACATGTCCCTTTTTTGCACGTAGGTCTGATGCCCGTCTTCATAAAGATGATACAGACATTTGCTTCAGTAAAACCCTTAACTCCTGCAAAGTGCCCCAGATCCGTTATGCCAGCGTGGAGCGTCTCCTGGAGCGGCTGACTGATTTGCGGTTTCTGAGCATCGATTTCCTCAACACCTTCCTGCATACATATCGCATTTTCACCACGGCCACTGTGGTGCTGGCGAAGCTCTCTGACATATACAAGAGGCCCTTCACCTCCATCCCTGTCAGGTACACCGGGTTTGTCCTTTCAGTTCCTGTGTCACTGTCCACATGAACGGCCCAGGTCCTCAGAGTAGCTCCTAGGGCACTCACTGGCTTGCTTTTGATCTCACTATGTCCCTTGCCCCATTGGAAGGTGGTAAGTAAAGGTCACACATAGGGGAAGAAGTTGAGAACCCCGAAGTTTCCAAGTAGCTTTTGCTTGCTTTTTAAAAAATATTTTTATTAGTTATCAATGGACCTTTATTTATATGTGGTGCTGAGAGTCGAACCCAGTGCCTCACACAGGCCAAGCAAGTGCTCTACCACTGAGCCACGACCCCAGCCCCTTTTGCTTGCTTTTAACTATTTGGAAGCAGTCTATTACATTAGACTATTCTATTTTTTTTGATGATGTACTATTCATACTTTAATATACATAAGAATCAGCTGGAGGGACTGTCTTATTAAATTACAGGTGATTCAGTGGGTCTAGAGTAGAGCCTGAGTTCTGATAAGTGCCCCAGACACTAGCTGCTGGTCTTTGCAACCTCCGTTTAGTAGTAAGGGTTAGATGATGACTAAAAGGTGTCTGTGTTCCTTTGGCAGGTGCATGACACACATGTGACATTTAGATTAAGGAAAATGCAATAGTAGAAGTGTGATGGTATCATAGTCTTTAAATGTAGGGAGCATGTTCTTGGATGACAGTTGGGACATCATCATCACTAGGCTGCAATCTGTTAATGGTGTTTCTTGTTATTTTCAGGTCACTGGAATTGTTTTTTGCTACCAGTCAGAACAACAGAGGTGAACATTTGGTGGATGGAAAATCCCCACGTTTGTGTCGCAAATTCTCTTCCCCACCACCACTGGCAGTGTCCAGAACATCCTCCCCAGTGAGGGCCAGAAAGCTGTCCTTGACTTCTCCCTTGAACTCAAGGATAGGAGCCTTGGACCTGACCACCTCCTCGACATCCAGCAGTCCTACCACCACCCATAGCCCCACAGCATCCCCACCGCCGCACACTGGTAAAGTACCATTGGATCTTAGCAGAGGCCTCTCTTCTCCAGAGCAAAGCCCGGGATCCATAGAAGAGAATGTAGATAACCCCCGCGTGGATCTGTGTAACAAGCTAAAACGAAGTATTCAAAAAGGTATTATGCAGCACATTGACTTGATCACACCCACTTTTGCTGCCACCTGCTTCCACACCATTCCTTCTGGAACCTTCCCTCCCTTTCTTCACAGCATTTCTACTTCCGTATAGAAAGTAGAATGGATACAATGGCTAGTTAGAAGAGAACATTCCTGTAGCTTCCTCTAGCCCTTGTGGAACCAGGAGCAGAGTTAGTTCTCCTCATTCCCTACAGTCAAAAGGCTCGCTGTAGGCAGTTGTCAAGGGAGAAATAGTACATGTGGGTGATATTAGTGGAGAGTTCTTGGACTTTGGTGTGAGGCTGGCTGGCTAAAGAGCCTACCAGGCTACTTTGTGGAGAGGCAGGATGTGGACACCCCCATCCGTGACCTTGGCCCTCCGCTCCTCCTCCACCTCCATTTCTGCCCTAAGCACCTGTATTGCTCCCAGCCTTTCCCTGTTGAGCATGACCTAGACAGGAAGCACAAAGATGGCTTCAGTTTAGTCAAGAGGGCAATGATCCATACCATAGTATAGGTATTGGGAGAAAAATCAAAGTGAAGATAGTCTCATTTATCCTTGACATGGCCAAATGGTTTTTTAAAATCTGGATTAGAGCATATATGATTTTAAATTCTCTAACGGCAATCCATTGCTCTTAGAGGAACGTTCTTCCTCCACGGCTTTCAGATCTTATGAGACTTCAGTGCTCTCTCCCTCTCCAATCCCTGCTCTTGCCAGTGCCCCTCATCTGGTGGGCTTCAGTCACTTGATTTCCCTTCTGTGTCTTGGGAACATCTTGCCATTCTGGCCCAGGCCTCTGCCTGGGCAGCCTTACCCAATTGAGCTCTATGAACTCTGCAACCTTGTCTATCTTGTTCACTCCTGCTTCCTCAGTGCCTCGGCCACTGCCTGGCAGGAAGTAGATATTTGTTAGATGAGGGAATGAAGTAAAACACTCTGGGAACTAACTCAGGGTGCCTGGTATGTCACCATATCGTCCTCACCTTGGTACAAGTAGGGGTTGTAGGTGGCGATCCTTACAGCTTTTAAAATTCAGTGTTTCTGTGATGCATATCAACATTGTTTCACAGCCAAAGTAACAAAGAACATTTTTTTTCTGTCTGATATCTGATTTATTTGTTGATAACATAAAAATTAGACAACAGATCAGACAAAGTGTTCAGATTTCAAGGAGGATCACCAGATGGGCCCTTGCTTTTCTACCTGCTGGAAGCATCTATGTGCTTTCTCACTTGGATCATTTGAATAAGCTTTCCCGAGTGAAGTATCTGATGGAATTTTAACTGGAGTGGTTGTCATCATCAACAGTAACACCCTTTTTAACAAGAAATTCTTTAAATTGACAAGTTAGCAACTATGGAGGAGGAAAGGGGGAAGATAATTAAAAAGTCATTAGAACAACAAGCGTCAGCAAAATCACCATGGATTCTTCTAGAAATAATGAGGCCACGGCAAGCTGATGAGAGCGTCAGCTGCCTCATCCAGCACCAGGGCTTGGGCAACACTCTGGAGGGATGGCTTATTTCCACCTTCCCCGGGGCCATGTGGCCTGGGAAGTGTGGGGGTTTCCCAACGTGTGGAAAGTTCTTTCTCCTCCTTTATGGGATTGCAATAAAGAGAAGGAGAAATCTCAAGGTAAACGTGGATCCTCATGTTCTTTTGAGTTAGGGGAGCTTTAGGGACAAGCAGATTGGTGTCAGATGTTAGTAACTCTGAGGGTGTGGTGAGATAGCTCCTGGGTCTGGGATGAGATCTGTTGTTCCACATGTGGCAAAGTCGTTAAGAGTCTCTGTGCCAAGTACTGTGTGTGCTAGAGTTCATAAAGGTAGTGTGTGGTAAATAGGATGGCACCCGACCCCTCCTACTCTGCTTATGCGGATATTATAGACACAACTATAAGAGTAGATGATGCAAGGGGTGTAGACAGAGTGCTCTGGAAGTGGAAAAGCAGGGAGAACATATTTGGCTGAGCAGAATTGGGATGTGTCTTTGACATGAGCCAAAAAAAAATAGACATGGATGTTGGAGGGAGGAGATGGGCCATCTTCTGGACAAAGAGCAAAATGGTCACCTTGACCACATTTCCAAGTGCCAGAGACATCACTGCTCCTGAAGGGGTAGCTTTTGCCCTGTTTCGATGTCATGGTCAGCCTTGTAGAGCAGACCCTGTTATTAGTCTTTTTAAGGCTTTTTAGTATCAAGCAAACTTAAACATTCCAATAAAAATGCACCTAAGAGATTTCCTTGACCTCTTTTTCCTTCTTACTATCTCAACCATTTTCAAATTAAGATTGTTTAGTAAACTACATTCACATTAGAACTCTAGAACTTTCTCATTTTGTAAAACTGAAAGTAAACCCACTGAATAATATCTCATTTCTTTGTCTTCAGGCCCCTGGAAATGATAGTTCTCTCAACTTTTATGAGTCCAACTACTTTAAGAAGTTCATATGAGTAGAATCACACAGTATTTGCCTCAAATGATTTAGAGTTAAGTTTTCAAGAGTTAATTCATGCAAATTTTCATAGCTTAGAAATGTCATTTTGCAGTTCCAGGTCATGTTAAATGCTGAGCTTCTCCTACTCTGGGTAATGGGGAAACACCAAGATTGTGCACAGGTGGGGTCCATGGTCTTTGATGAAGACCACAGAGCCAAACTCTGCTCCAGAGACACCAGCTTCTCTGCTTCCTGGGCTTCTTAGGCACATCCACCCACTAACACATCTCCCCTTAGCTCTCATTTTTACCATCACCTTCCCCCAGAAACCCCACTAATTCTTCCATTATGCTCTTCATTCCTGTCTACTTTGATCTTTTTTTCTTTTCCCTTTCTATAGCTGTCTTTTAATTTCTTTTTATTGCATTTATTTCCCAACGTACCTAGGAATATTAAAGGTGGTAGTACAAAGAGACACATGGTACAACTGGATTAAAATAAAATAGGTAAGAAAATCAGGCAAGGGGGGGGGGAAGAAAAGTTATGTGAGGACAGAGGTATGGCTAGTGGCCCTCAACAGCCACTGGAGCCCCCCTAAGTTTGGTTCTGAGCTTCTCAGTGACAGAATAGAGACAGGAATGTAATCAATTACACAATTCATATCAAAACCAGGAATAGATTGGTTGAACAGGCACATCTTTCCTTGCTATTGAGACTTGGAAAAGAAAACACTGTGAGTGAAAAAACAAAAATGCTTAGAATGAAGACTGGGATTATGATAGATCTTTGGCATTCTCCATAATAGGTAAACAAAGGAACTGTAGACTTAGTTTTTTCTTTCATTCTGCATTGGCATAAGGGCAATACTGGCCATGAATAGAATTAGGGAGATCATGGATGACCTCTTCAGCATGTCTGATAGCTGTGTGTGTGTGTGTGTGTGTGTGTGTGTGTGTCTGTGTGTCTGTGTACACATGTGTGCTGTCTGTGGGAGTCAAGAGGGCTGCTCTGTTAACCCTGTTGTCTAATCCTGAAAATTCCAGTTGGCAAAGAAAAGGGTGACGCTGATCTGTCTTTAATTTGAAAGATGTTCACGAGTGCTTTGCATAATGTTAACAGTTAAAAGTTGGCGAACTTGAGTAAGAATCCTGTGCCAAGAGGTGATACATTTTCTGTTCTTCATTTCAGGATACAGCCCCACACAATCTCATTGTCTAATACCTATGTTCCCATGAGGTCCATCCAAGTCCATTGGTCTTTTTCACTGCTATCCACCTAGACAGTTCAGAGCATGTGCTTTAAGGAAGGCTAATTTCAGTTTTATTGTCACGGCAATGATAGCGCCAGCATTATAATATTTCTGGCAAGAGAACTTGAAATGGCATGAAGGAAAAGCAGAGAAGTAGTACATTTCCCTCAAAATGAGACAGGTAATAAACATTTTAGGTTAAAAATATACAATTTAGTTTTCCCCCAACCTAGTTCCTAAATCTGTTGCAGGTTCCCCAACATTCACTAGTACCCTACCTTCCTGATACCAGGCATTCCCCCACCTTCTTCTAACTCAGGTGTTTCTAAAAAGCTAATCTCAGCATGACTCAAATTCCACCCAATGATGGATTCTCAATGAAAGACCAATGGCAGACAAGAAAGCAGAGCCAAAGGGCCGCTTGCTGTATTGGGGCCCCACACACCCTGGCATGCACTCAGACCACGGCTGAGCAACTTGTCCACAGCCCACGGCACCAGTGTCTGTTTCTGTGTTCTCAGTTTGAAAATTGCCTGCCTGTGGGCTGAACGTGCTCCCGATTTTAGCATTTGTTTGGAGCTCACATCTGCCCACTCATCTTGCAGGCAAAGCTGTTTGCATGGAGCTGATTGAAAGTGAACAAGCCAGAAGGAAATGCTTCCCCACCCCACCATGCTAGCATGGTTTCTTCTCCCTGTAGGTGCCTGTTAGCTAGCAGTATTATTCTCTGCTTTCCTGCTCTTTCAGGGAATTGGGGTTCTGTTTGGTTGTCTCCCTGGCTAATTTTTTGGGTTCAGCATATTGCCGACTAAAGATTTTCTCATTGGTGTAAGAAGAATGAATGAATGGTTGGATCAGACCAAGGACATGCATTTGGTATTCTGCTTGCTCTTACAGAGCAGATGCCTTCCATTACTGAGTTTTGATGGAGCTATTTAGAAAATAATAAAACTAACAGCTAAGCACTGATTTTTTTTGTCTGCATCTTGCATCTTTGCCAGCTTTCCTATAATTATGTCATTCAAGGAAAGATTCTAACCATTTCCCTTCCCCAGCTCCTTTGAGTTGCTAAAGATTGAGATTATGGCCATATTTCTAAGGGAGTAAATTATATGCAAGTGTAAAAATGTCTTTATATGAAGTCATTAGGGATTTTGTACAGTTAGTTAGTGAAATCTTGAATGGGATGAAAAGAGAAGTAGTTCAGCTGACCAGGGTAATGAAGATTAGTGGAGGTGAAAATTAAATTGGATCAGTGGGAGTTAATGAACAGCCTACGGAAAAAGAAATGGAAGAATTGTTAGACCTTTGTTAACTTTTTGGTAATATATTTCCTTGGAAGAACATACACAGAGTTATAGTCAACAAACCAGTGGAAGGGGTAAAGAAATGTCATTAGCAGTAGCGTAAGTGTGACCTCAGAATGATGGGACTTTTATTCTAGGGATATTAGCTACAGTAAAGAAGCTCAACAGTTCACTTAAAAAATTTCCATATGCTCTTGTTGATCTGTAGCTATAGCTCAGAGCTACCCAGTAGAACTTTCTGGTAGGATGGAAATGTTCTGTACCTGTGCTGTTCAATAGTGTAGTTGCTAGCCACAGGTGGCATTGAATGGCATTGAATGTGGCTAGTCCAAATGGACAACTGAAATATTTCTTTAATTTTGGTTAAAATAAATTTACATAGTTATATTTGGTGAGTGCTGCCATTTTGGACAGTTCAGCTCTAGATCTCTTAAGAGCTCCCAGAATTTCCTTGGGTAGGCATATTGCTAGAAATTCGAACTTTGGTTCCCTTAAGAATGTGACCAAGGCAAAGAAGTAATGAAGTCCTAATTTGAATCCCATTCTGGTTTATAATCTGAAAAAAGACCCTCTTTCTCCACTCCAAGAAAGCCAAACATTCTAGAGGGCATGTGATCCATCGCTTAGCCCCCTGTTCTTTTTAACATCTGTTATTGATTGGATGGAAGGGACTGGCCAGGGTCAGTTAGGGTCAGCCAAGGCTCAACAAGGCCAGATGGATACCATTAGAGAAGATCCATGTTTAGTTTTAGTGTCATTAGCATTCTGTTGTGAAGAATGCCCTGATTTAATGTTAAAGTCCTTTAAAATGTAGACTAATATGAAACGCTCATTTCCATAATGTACTTTTCCATTTCCATGCATGATACTAACAAGAAGCTCTGGAATTCATGGCTTGGTTGTTGAAATCTCTGCTGTTTTACAGCAGCAGTCTTGGAGTCTGCCCCAGCAGACCGAGCAGGAATGGAAAGCTCCCCAGCAGCAGATGCCACAGAACTTTCACCTTGCAGGTCCCCCTCGACTCCCCGGCACCTCCGCTATCGCCAACCTGGAGGTAAGAGCTCAGAAAGGCACTCAAATAGAAAAGGTATTTCTGGTTCTGAATCTCTGCTTTGCTTTACTGTTTTATTCCTCTAAGAACATTTTAGTATAAGTTGTAAAATCTAATTGGAAATGAATAATGTAACTGTAGGACCAAAGAGTGGGAAAATAAATGATTAGAGAATGTATCTTCAGTTTGATGGATATTTGTTTGTTCTCATGATTGCTTTGCATTTTGTATGGAATAATATGAATCAGAAGGCATGTCTAGCTTATGACTAGGAATATCAGTGCCATTTTACCAAAACATGGCCAGATTCTGATTCCTTAACATGAGTTCAAGTGTAGTCTATATAAATAGGCTCATCTGGGATATAACAATTTGGGGAAATCTTATTAATGACACTCTTACATCTAAAATAAAGTTTATTTGCATGGGAACCCAACATTATTGCTGCAGGAAAAAACCGGTATGTTTTGTTTATATACGGTTATGAAATTTGTAAAGTATGATCCTGTAATTTGAAAAATCAGAGAAAAAAGTAGGAATCTTTCATATTCTCGTTTTCCCCACTCACTGCTCCAATAAATATATCTAAATAACAGTTTTTTTGAAATTTTTTTTATCCTTAATCCAATTATTTCAAATCAGAAGAGAAAATTATACAATTATGAAACAAGATTCACCCCAAAGTAACTCTAGTAAAATGCAGAGGCATTTTTTGACTTTCATATTCATGCTTCAAGAGCATTTTGGCCAAAGATAAAGTGCATGACTCCAAGTGGGCATTTCATTTGTGGCCTATTCCATTGGTGGAAGCTGACTCCAAAAGCAGCTAGAAGGGTCAGGGATAGGTGTTTGTCAGAAGATTTACCTTGATGGATGTCAGCTTCCAGGGCTTTCAGGCTCCTGGTCAATTATGGATCGCTCTGCCATTTAGGTGTTCCTGGTAAATGAAGGTGACAAGCTAGACCTTCCTGGCATGTCATGAGACTACTATGGAGTTAGACAAATCCCTCTACTATTCTTAGAGCCTTGGTCAACCCAGGTTTTGGCAGCTTCTTGACCATTGCCATATAGGGCAAGTCCCTTAGGTTCACTGCAATCTAGAACAGTTGTGATCAAAGCCCAGGGTAGCAAGATTCTATCAAAGCAAGAGTTAAATGCTGTTCACTTTGTTACTCTTATGAGAGCTGTTTTATATTCTTATTATGTGTTTGTATTCACAAATAAAATTTTAATTTACATAAAGATTATTTGCAATTATCATCCTTTTCATGGCTTAACTGAACTCCCCTTTTGTGGGGATTCTGGGAATTGAACCCAGGGATGCTCTACCACTGAGACAGGGTCTCACTAAGTTTCTGAGGCTGACCTTGAATTTGACATCCTCTTGCCTCAGTCTCCTAAATTGCTAGGCTTATGGGTGTGCACTCCCCCCCCCCATGCCCAGCTAACTAAGCCCTTTGTTTCTTCCCCAATATGACTAAATTATATAGACAGGAATTTAGGAAGGAGGCTGAAATCTGTGATAATGTGGTAGATCCAAATGGGAGAGAATAGCACCTGTTTCCTCATTGTCTAGCCAGTATTTTGCCTCTTTACCTATCTACTTGCCACCTGCTTTTGTGCTTTCATTAAGCAGTACTTTGCTTCTTTCTTTATTTAAAGCATGCCTGTATAACTTCAGGATCAAACTAATAAAAATTCTTCAGGTCAGAAGCATAGCAGAGTGTTTCCACTAAAAACCTAGGGGAGGTTGGATCAGCATTATCAGAAACAGATTCAGAAATGAAAGGGGCTGCAAAGACTGCTCAGGCCACCCTTTTGATGTTAGAAGAGCTACACTTAACACTTCCCTACTTTTAAAGGTGTTTTGGAAAGGTAATACTATCAATAAATGATGTAGAATCTTTTTAAAAATATTTCTTTATTGAGATATAAGTCACATACCATAAAATTCACCCCATGAAATTGGATAGTTTAGCAGTTTTTGTGTATTCACAAGGTTAGGCAAATGTAACTACTGGTTAAATCCAAAACATTTTCATCACCCAAAGAGAAACTCTGGACCCATCAGCACCCAGTCTTTATTCCTGTCTCCCTCCAGTCCTGGCAACCATGAATCTATTTTCTGTATGGACTCACTTGTTCTGGACATTTAATATGAAGGCAATCATACAATATGGGATCCTTTGTGATTGGCTTCTTTCCCACAGAATAATACTTTTTGGATTCATTCATGTTGTAGCATGTATTAGAACTTCATTCCTTTATTATGACTGAGTCATAGTTCCTTTTTGTTTATCTGTCTGTCAGCTGATGGATGTTTGGTTGTTTATATTTTTTGCTACTGCGAATAATGCTGCTATGGATCACGCACAAGTTTTTGTGTGGATGCATGTTTTCCCCCTCTTGGTTATGTACCTACAGTGGAATTCCTGATGTACAGTACTACTGTTTGCCTATTAGTGGGGACAGAACAGGGCTTTTGGCCCAACCCTTCATCCAGTGTAGGAATAAAAATGAGAATTTTTCATTCTAGAATAGTGTCCAGCTGCCTCATCTTTTCTATTCCTTTCTTTTAAAATAACCAGGACAGACAGCTGACAATGCCCACTGCTCTGTTTCGCCAGCTTCCGCTTTTGCAATTGCCACGGCAGCAGCAGGACATGGGAGTCCACCAGGTGAGTAGGGAGAGCACCTGTGTACAGACACATGGCAATTTATATTAAATCAGTGGCTCCCGACTGCCAGAATCCTAATAATGATGGGAGATTCCAGTTCCTACTCTGAGTCAGTGTGCTTGGGTTAAGACTCATTTAAATAAGCACCTTCAGAAATCCTGTGTTTCGTAATGACATGGATGAACCTGGAGAATATGGTGTTTAATGAACTAAACCAGTCACAGAAAGACAAGTACTGCATGATCTCATTCACATGTGGAATCTAAAGAAGTCAAACTCACAGGAGCAGAGCATAGAATGTAGTTCCCAGGGCCTGGGGTGACCGTGCTGGATGAGTGGGGAGATGTTGTACAAAGCTCACAGAGTCTCAGCTCAAAAGGAGGAGTAGTTTCAAGAGATCCATTTTACAATGTGGTGAATACAGTTAATAATTATGTACTGTATATTCGGAAATTGCTGAGAGTAGATTTTAAATGCTTTCACCACAGAAAAAGGTGAGTGATAGATGTTAATCAGCTTGATTTACTGATTCCACAGTGCATGCACATATCAAAACATCATGTTGGACCCTATAAATATGTACAATAAAATTGAACAACTATGTTAATAAACAAGCATCTTCAAGTGAGTGTCCCACGGGTGGTTGGTGGGCCACACTTCTGAGAAATCCTGTATAAAAGAAGGATTCGTCACTACTACCCTGTTCTTTTATTGTGTTCTGCAACCATTTTAGCCAAGTGACCGAGAACAAGTTGCATTTTAACTGAGTCCAATGCCAAAAGCCTGTGCCGAGTCGAGGGGGAGACTCATGAAGGGGGAGCACTGCTGGAGCTGACTCACGGCTCATTTCCTCTAGCTCCACGGTTCCTTCTGAGTTTCTGTCAGTTAATGTTCAGGGTAAAGAAGAGGCACTTAAAATAAAAGCACCGTGTTTTAATAGATGAAAATTATATTCATTATCACTGTCCTCTTCTCTCATAGGCAAGGAGGACATTATGTTAAAGTGAATCTGTAAATGTTAAACCAGACCTGTTTTCATCTGCACTAATCCTGAGGGTTCCAGTCGAGGTGGGTGGGCTCTTGAGAGGTGGTGTATTTTCCTCCTTAGGCATTTCACCTACCATGGAAGAGTCCTTTTCCAGAGCCCATGAACCTGTGTTCCAACAGAAACTAGAAGGGATTATCTGTGTGATTTATTAGAAATTGCAGAAAAAAAAGAGGTGCTCATAATGAACACAAATTACCACACTAATTTTATATACCCCATCTAAATAGAAATTTTGCAGATTTACCACATTCCACTTCTTGAACACTTTGCTACACACACTTCAATGGATGTGGTCAAGCAAATTGGGGTATTCTTTGCTCCAAATATTCCTGAAGGCTTCTTCCACCAATTCCATCAGCATGATACAAAGTAGCCTATAGTGATTATATCGTATCACTGATATCTTGTCAATCCAGTTGACTTCTATTGTTAATTGCATTGTATAATAATAAACACTTTTCTGGTGAAATAATAGGGGACTCTGCTACACTTTCATCAGAATAAGTCACCAGTTGTGGTTTTTGAAGACCTGTTCCTGTCTTGCATTCTCACAAGCTAGTCTGTCCTTGGCAAATGAGTCAAATACAAGAGCATCCTTGCTGTTTTCCTCATTTAAGTATAGGTTGTAAGGGAAAATAGTTTTTGATCTAATTTGAGATGAGCCCAACTCCTAAGTGGGGACGGTCCCTTTCCACTTGAGATTGCAGTGAAGACCACCATTCTTACCAGCTTTAGAGAATGGCTTCTCACCTGTCCATGCAATTGCATCTAAAAGAAAAAGAAACATAAACAGTCAGGTCTATCTTTCTTTCTGAACCTCTGCTGCTTCTGCCACTGCCTTTTGTTCTCTTTCTGCCCTGCAGCTGGAGTAGCCTTAGGAAGATGCTCTTCAATAAGCTACCCACTGGGAGGGCCCCCAGATTTGCTAAGCTGTCATAGCTACCTTGCTCTGTGCAAGACAGCCTGAGTTCTGGGTGAGCAGACTGCTTTGTCATTAGAATGCTATTAAATGTTGCCAATCATGCAGTTGGAGCCACATGATTTGATTATAGAAGTAAAAGCAATAAGGGATTGGATTTGACAGTGCCCGTGGCTCTACTGTAAAGGCAGCAGGTTGCACGTGAATTGATTTTTGACTGCCATGGTAAGAAAGGGGATCTCTTTGGTAGTAGGACCAGTACGTTCCTGGTGCTCAGCCACTTGGCAGAGCTGGCCCCACAGGCAATTCTTCCTGCCTGAGAGAACTGGGCAGAAATGTTTTACTGGTCCTAAAGAATAGGACTTAGAGCAGATCCAACGAAGTGCTAGGAAAGTGGTCTGGCCTCATTAGCTGGCCAGGGAGAGCATGGTGTGTTGCTCAGGGTGAGGCAGGACCATGGTGCACAGACAGATATTCCAAGGGAAAGAGTGTTACATAAAAGTCAGGTCTCTATGGACTTGTATCTACTCTCTGAATCAAGAATTGCAGACCCAAAGTCACCCTAGAACCTGGTGAGTTGCACAGGGAGCAGGAAGAAGGTTGATGTCAACACTTTATGCTTTCATTAGCCTCTGTAGGCTTCCTGTCTGCTGGGCTAGCACACTCGGTGGTGCAGCTCTGCTGTGTTCTGGCCCCTTGCAAGAAACAAGGCACGGCCTGCCCAAGCCATGGGGGCTGCAGGGTGAGTTCCCATGATGCAAGTTCCTCTTGCTTTACTCCTCTCCTACCTCCAACCCTGTCCACCTCCAACAAAATAGACAGGACCCTGGCAACCCTGGGTTATAACCGACGATTAATGACTATGCTTTCAAACATTCTCTCCAGACATTGCGTGGTAAGCCATTTCTCTTTAGTTACTGTTTGGAAGGCTTTCTTATTGCATCAAAAAGAATATCAGATTTGGCAAGAGTTTGGGTAGCACATTTCCTTTACAAAGAAGGCAGACCAGAGGCTCCTGCTTGGCCCTGGAACCAGGGGAGAATGATTTTATTTGTGGACAGTGGCTCTGTTCAGGACCACCTGCTCTGCCAACAGAAGTACAGCCTGCCTAATTTCTACATGCATGGAAAAGTCTGGATTTTTTTTTTTTGTCTTTATTTTTATTTATTTATTTATTTTTATTTTTTTTATAGCATAAATCCACCCTTTCCAAAAATGGGTAGAACACTGTCTTCCATATCATGCCTCCTTTGCTTACCTTAGTCTACCTCTCCCATCCAGAGGACATATGCTTTCTGTGAAGGTGGCAAACTTTTGGGGAGATCCTGATGGCTTTTTAGGTAGATGGATGGCCAGTCTTAGGATTTTGTAGCATTATGCTTCCCAAATTACTTCTCCCTGTTTATCATGCTCCTCTGACACAGGCTCACGTCACAGGAGCACAAGTGTCATTCATTGTCTCAGCTTTCCCGATTCATTTCAGCTACTTATATGCAGCCTATCTTTGCTCTGTTTTCTTTCCTCCATACTTTTCAGTATTAGGCATACTGGATAAATTTTACTAATTTATCTTGCTTACTTCTATTGCTCTAACAGAATAAAAGATCCACAGGGGCAAGGATTTTTGTTCATTTTATTTTCCACAGTCGTCCCAATGTCTAGAGTAGTATTGTACACATAGTAGATGATCAATGAATGTTTATGAAAAGAGATATGAATCAATGAATAGATCACACTTTGTAATAAAGTAGATTTGGTGCAGAAAAGAAAAACCTGTACCTGCCTGTGTGTTTATTGTGCTGGAGTGTTTTAAATCACTGGATGTTGTTGTTATTCTTGTTTTTTTTTTGGCAAAATAATTTTGTCCATTTCTCCAAATGACTTGGGAAGGGATGTCAGTCACTGCAACCAGTAAGGGGCTTCTGAGTGACTCTTGGGCTTAGTACCACTTCTCTGAATACCCACAGCCCTGAGCTGAGTATATCCCATCAAGAATGAGGCAGCTGGGTAACTTGCTACCTCATTCTTGGTGGGATATAAGATTTTCCTCTCACACACAGGATTGGAAAGGGCTTGAAATCTGGGGTCACCTTGAGTGTTTGCTGACAGTCAGAAGGCAAGCACTAACCAAACGGTCAAAGCTTCATACTCTCTGTTAATAAGAACTGATTTTGTATTACAAACATATCCACCAAACCAGGCATTTCTTCCTTTCCCAAAGAGGTCCTGTTGTTACTCTCCAGGCGATATTAGGCCCAGTTATAGGTGGATCCAGAATCTGTGGGCCTAATGCTTATGAAAGAATATGAAATTACAGATATAAACCTTCAGGGCATCTCCCAAGACTTTGGAAGAGACCCATACCAACTGAGAGGTCCTAAACCTAAGCTTCATTGATGTCCTGGTACATATACTTTTGAATCTGCTATGGTTTGAATTTGGGTAATCACCCAAAGGTCCAGATGTTAAAGGTTTGGTTCCTGGTGGTGCTATGGGGAGGGGGTGCCTTATGGGAGGTATTTAGGTCACTGGTGGCCCTCGAAAGGAATTGTGACCCCATCAGTCCTCTTGGTCTCTCTGCTTCCTGGCTCATAATAGCAAGTGGCTTGCTCTGCCACACTCTCCTCCCCATTGCCATCCAGTGCCCTCCTCAGACACCCAAAGCAGTGGGGCAAACCAGTCTTGGACCAGAACCATGAGCCAAATAAACTTTTTCTCATTATAAAGTAATTGGCTCTGGTGTTTGTAACCCAAAGATGACCAATATGGAGTCCAATTCAGATAATTATTGGAATCACAAGAGCTACAGGCAATTTTGTACATTGGGTAATGGAGCTGGGGGTATGGATGATCATCAACCAGTCATTAGCAGTCTTTCTTCTGAGTTCATCCAAAGGTACATGGTATAATGAAAATAGCAGCACATGTCATCAATTAAAAATGAGCTGTTGAGTAGGTATTAATAATATACAGACCCCTGTGGAGACTAGTTGGGTTAGTTTTGGGTAATGGTGAGTAGACCATAATACTGTA